TTTCTTATGTCGACCGTTATTTTTTCGGAAATGGCAGGCCAGTTTTTTTTTTTATATCACTGTGTGCACGCGTGATGTACTGCGTGCGTTTCTTACGTGAATGCGTCCAAGCTGCTGTTTGTGTGATCTGTTAACACAGATGGACTAAAAAAAAAGGCAGCATTCCACGGAGTGAATGATGGAGAGTGGGGCGAAGAATTTGTCCGTCCATTCGTTCTTGCTTCCGTCCGTCCATGCGTCCGTCAGTGTGACCGTCCATGCGTCCATCAGCCCGTCCATGCGTGCGTCTGTTCGTGCGTCCGTCCCTGCGTTCGTCCATGCAGCCACCCCTGCGTCCGTTCATGCGTCCATCCATGCATCTGTCTATGTGTCCGTTCGTCCATCTATTCAACACTCCAAGTACCACCATCTCGCATCTTTTCATCATATATTCCCCATATAGAAGCACCGCCATCCAGCGGACTTTGCAAGGACTAAACGAGAGGTAGCACACGCACACTTTCTTACGGCTTGCGCTTCGGGTCCACTTCCCACCTTTAACCACCTCGAGTTCATGGTATATACTAGTTCACTGTATTCATGGCACTGCGGCCGAACGCTCGCTAAACCTTTCGAAAACCAAGGAGGTTTCGCCCAGCGAGTATGACGTAGCAAACTTTTTCAGTCAGATAGTACTCAATGTACATGCCAATGGCTGCTAATGGGAAACGAGAGGCGGAGAATTCGGCTTTTACTTTCTTACGGCTTGCGCTTCGTATCTACTTCACATTTTTAACCACCTCGAGTTCATTCATGGTATATACAACTTCATTGTATTCATGGCAGTGCGGCTCAACGCTCGCTAAACCTTTCTAATTCGAAGGAAGTTACAGCCAGCGAGTATAACGTAGCAACCCTTTCTTGTCAGATAGTGCTCAATGTACATGCCAATGGGTGCTAATGGTGATCGCAGCCTGCGCGTTAACTAAAAGCCGAATGCTCCTGTCTCTCATTCCCCATTAGCAGCCATTGACATGTACATTGAGCACTATTTTTTTATTGTTCAACAACGCACAGAAGAAGTCTCTCACCGGCACCACCTTGGAGGTCAAAATGTTATACTTGTTACATACTACGGGGGACGAACGGGTGCCGCTATAGGGAGTTTCGCCCCTTAAACGTTTGCATGCGATGAGCTGAGCCGGTTTTATACGGCACCTTCATCAAGTTCAGGATCTGAGTGCTGACATGCCAGCATTGGAAGCCTGGGTAGAAATATAAACATACCCGGATGCAGCAAGCCACCTGATCGTTTTTTTAAACTTTATTTTGATGCGATAAACATTGGTGCACTGTATATTTTTGTATATTAAGCGTCAGAATGTGGTGATAATTCAACAAAACTTAATTCATGTTCGACTCATTTTATGGTTTCAAAATAAAATAACGGCTGCCGGTCGGCTGCCGTTATGACTCACTGTACACCACCCGCTGAGTGAGTCATACAGGTAGGTGGTTACGAACCGGTCACAGACATGCATAGACAAAACCACAGCCTTAGGAGCCCCTGATAATGAATTACAACACGGTCACGTTCCCTCTGCGTGCTTCGAGTAACTTTGATTTCCGCGGTGTGTGAGGTCTGCCCAAATTTATTATTATAATAACGTTGTTGTTTTTATTCATGTTTTCTTTATTGATTTGCCTCCTCCTTCCACTCTCCAGACCTTCGCATCATTCCTCACGCCCTCCTTTTTTTGTACTCACTCTCGCATAAGTCTCACCTTTGTATTTTTGGTTACGGCACAAAATCAACGTAGACGGAAGGAACACTGACGAGCCCTGTCCCTTCCGTCTTCGTCGATTTCGCGCTGAAACCAAAAATGCGCCCGTACCAACTAGCCCAACTTACAGTGGTTATTCCTCACCTTTACTCCTCCTCCTTCTCCCTTGCTCAATTACGTTACAGTTCTAGGCCTTGCTTTATACTCTCTCCCATTCTCCTCTCCTTCATCACCCTCCACTGTCCTTGCCATTCCGTTACTATACTCTAATGTGCATGGCTATACCACGGTGTTGTCCCCGAAAGAAAGTTGTCCCCGAGTAGAGCTATAGTATGCAATACTCGAGGACAACTCTCTGTGGCAATGAAGGGAAATGGGGTGGGGCTACAGCACATGTAGTCCTCCGCGAAGAAGTTCGGCTTGACTCGCTTTTCGAATGCCGGCCGTGATCGAATAATACCACAGCACAGAATGTGCTGCGTCTGCTTACAAAAGCTATTTGTGAGGGAAATTTGACACAACCTCCTTCGGCGAATCGTCGACGGAGGGCGACGAGCGCTCACCTGAAGACGAAGACGCTATTTTCACTGTGAGGTGCACCTAAAACGTGCGGCGTTTTCAGGCGTGAAAGGCGTGGAATGACACTTCATTAAGCAAAACAAATATTATTATCTCCTTGGTTATTGCAGCGTGTCTTTTTAAACATCATCCCGTTGAAAATAGTCTTGTTTTCATTATCTTCACGCAGAAAACACAGACGCGTTTGTGGGACTATGTTCTTCAGCGGTGACACACGTCCACTTTGGTTCCGTAGCATTCCCCTCATTCCCACAGAAAGTTGTCCCAGAGTATAGGAGCTGCATGGTGCATACCAAAACCCCCTGGACTGGTATAACGGGCATTCCATTGCACGTGCCCACTTTTTGTGGTTCCCGCCTCCTTTATTCCTCTTGGCCCTTACAACACTTTCACACCCTCACTTCCCTTTGCCACCCACTTGTTATACTGCCACAATATGAGCTGCTTGGCACATTCCGGTTTATATTTCTAGCCCACGCACTACACCCTATGCCGAGCTTCAAGTTGTGTTGTTAAAATAGCACCTCGAAAACGTTATCAACGTGTTTATTGCAGTGTCTGCGTGATTGGCTCCGAGCGAGAAAATGTCACCTTCTCCGTGGCAGAAAATTGGAAAATATCCACGCAAAATAAATGATAATTTTTTTTTTGTTTCAGTCAGCGTCTAATCAAGGCCATCTGCGTGACAGTAGCGTAGTCGTACCTGGTGTCGAAAGAGGTGAACTGCGCAACCAGTTGGCGTCTTAAAGGCCCACCGTGCTCGGACATAATCATCATCAGTTGCAAAAAAAAAGCGCTCCAGCAATATAGACAGCTGAGTAGGTTCGCATGTTGAATTACGAACGCATACTACGCCCTTCGCGGATTCAGAAAAGTAACAATTATGGTTAGTGAACGCACCTGTGCTTGCAGTAGATGATTCTAGGATAGCGTGAAACGGGACAATGTAATACCCCTGTCACACGGGCACCCGTGAAGACCGTTTAACTCCCTCGTCTTTACGACAACGAAGATGCGGTCGGTGTCACACGGCCACCCTTACGCAAACGAAGGTGAACGGAGCATTTCGCAAAGGACGTTCAACGATCTCCCTTCGCAGCGAAACGAGGTACTCTCGTCCTCTGCAGTCTTGAGGTCAAAGATAAATTTCGAGCACTAAGTGGCCGCAGTGAAAGAATAATACATTTTAGCAATATTAAACGTTCTTTCGTTGTATTACTCATTCACAACGCGTGTTTGTTTACAATATTTACGCCCGCCAGAGTTCACTTACTCTCAACACCGATGCCCTACACACCGTGCCTCGCGAGTCGGGCCGGCCGGCGCCAGCCGATCAACGTAATTGCCAGCGCAATATCGCACCACTTCCTCACGTCGTCCGCTGTGTCACTCATGGCTGAAGAACACAAAATGTGCGCTCACGAGGCAAGGAAGCATAAAAACTTTCGTACCGGACATGTACACAGGCAACAAAACAACTAAAAGCACAATGTGGCCAGCGTCACCAGCAGGATTGCTACATTTAGCAAATGCGTTTTTATTTGAAATTATTTTTTAACGGTTTGTTAGTCGCATACCTACTTAATAGTGCTGTTTTGTAAAAACCGCATAACGAGGATTCACAAAAAAATTATTAGGGATCAAATTAGAATACTTTTCTGAAAATCAAACAGCGCCAGCTGAGTCCCCTCGCGGCAAATGTTACAACCTTGTCATTGCCGTGTGACACTGCCGCAACTCCTCCTCCGTCAGACCCCCTAGGAGAGATTTACGTTGACGGTGTTCAACGGAGTTTGGTGGTGGCCGTGTGACAGGGGTATTACGCGCGCACGGTCGTTCGTTTTCTTACGGCATGATTGAGGGAGGCCCAAGCGTCCGTTAGCCGCCACAGTGGTCAAGTGGCTGCTGACCCCCAGGTTGCAGGATTGAATCTCGGCCGCGGGGACCGCATTTTTGATGGAGGCGACGCCCGTCTGCTTAGATTTAGGTGCACGTTGCAGAACCCCCACATTATGACACTCTCAAATCATGACGAGTAAATCACCACTATTCCTCTGAAGGAAAGTATATATATAACAGCTGCATCTTAGCTACGGATCAGAAATTTGGAGACTTACAAAGAGGGTTCAGCTTAAATTGAGGACGACGCAGCGAGTACTGGAAAGGAAAATGGTAGGTGTAACCTCAAGATGCAAGAAGAGATTAGAGTGGATCAGGGAACAAACCGGGGTTAAGGATATCATGGTCGAAATCATGGTGAAAGGAAATGGACATGGGCCGGGCATCTAGCGCGTAGAAAGGATAACCACGGGTCATTAAGGGTAATTAGCTGGATTCCTAGAGAAGGCAAGCGGGTTAGGGGGAGACAGAAAGTTAGGTGGGCAGATGAGATTAGAAGTTTGCGGGTATAAAATGGCAGCGCCAAGCACAGGGCCGAGTCGACTGGCGGAAGAACGAGGCCTTTGTCCTGCTGTGAACTTAGTCAAGGCTGATGATGATGATGAAAGAACCTCAGGTGGTCGAAATTTCCAAAGCCCTCTCCTGTGGCGTCTCTCATAACGTGCTTTTGGGACTTTAAACCCGAACGATTATTAGTTATCAAGCATCCGTCACAATTTTCTCGAAGTAACCCACCTTGCGTATATACTTGCCTTGCAGGTGACGAGATTGCACGTCATCCACCACTGCATCGTCGTCTGGAACGGCTGGGTGGGCCTGACGTTCGGCGCCGAAGGCCAGATCATGATCTGCATCTGCATCAACTGTCTGGTGCACGTCATCATGTACTCCTACTACTTCCTGTCCTCCTTCGGGCCGGCCATGCGGCGGTACCTGTGGTGGAAGCGGTACCTGACGATGATGCAGATTGCCCAGCTGTCCTTCTTCGTTATTTACGCCATGGTGCCCATGGTCCACGAGTGCAACTACCCGCGCATCCTGCTTTGGATCGGGTTCGCTGCAGGCGGTTGTGCTGCTCAGCCTGTTCTGCAACTTCTACCTGCATACGTACAAGGGAGGCGACCCGAGGCAGCATTCGCCAGCCAAGGAGAGAGTAGAGTGAGCACTCCAAAGCCGTAGTCGTGGCGGGGAACAATGTTTTTTTTTCCTTTATTGTGTAAGTATCGCGTATGTTTCTAAGCGCCGTCGACATACTTACAAGTGCCTTGACAAGCGCGTAAGTCGGTCGTGAGTGGAGTTCTGGTTTCGGGATGTCCTTCGTCGCCTCGTCATGCAGTTTCGTGCGCTTGTGTTCGGCTCTGTGAGTGGTGTGACAACGGCGACCTTACGGCCAGCTTGTGCAACAAGTGTGACCGACCTGTGCTCCACACTCGATGACGAACTCTGGCGTAGAGCACCGGCGGGCGTTCTGTGGGTCCAGGACAGTGGCGCTGCAAACGTTCTTCATGAAGGAAGCAGGAAGCGTTGGCCGACGTTCTCGGATGCGACCGTGGCCACCATTAAATGGGCGATTTGACTTTCGCCGCCCCTGTTCAGAGCTGACTCACGCTGAACGTTCGGGTGGTGCACCGACTGCGCGCGCGCGTTCAACGCCAGTGCAACGCGGCGTTTCCTGCTTTCGGGACTCCTTTGTTTGCGAGACAAGAATAAAGTAGGTCTTTTCATCGATGTTGTCACACACTGCTGATGTTGTTACCCACTGCTTGAGTGCACTAGATGCCAAATGACGTCTTATCACTTATCGGACCAAGCAAAAGACATTTGGGACTCTAAAAGTATTATCATTGAACATGCTTCGTGGCACCAGCAGGCAGAAGAAGTGTTCCACGCTCGTCGTCATGGCTACTAGGGGCGCTCCCAGGTTCAAATGCACATATATGCCACATAAAGTGAACGTGTGGGAGGACCATCGCTGAAACTCAGTCCGTAGAGCATCGAATGTGGTATCGGGCCTGGTGTGCCATTCCCTGGCTAACGCCACTGTTCTTCAAGTGTACTTAATCTCTTTATGCGCATTATATGGTCGCTGTCCGCTATTCATACCTAATAATATCTGGGGGTTTACGTCTCAAAACCACGACATGACGTTAAGGGACGCCGTAGTGGAGGGCTCCAGAAATTTCGACCATCTGGTGTTCTTTAAGGTGCATTGACATCGCTAAGTACGTGGGCCTCTACCATCTCACCTCCATCGAAATGTTACCGGTATCGAACCCGCCACCTTCCGCTTCATTTCTCGCTGTAGAATGTCGTGACCCCGGCGAGTAATGTGGCAACCAACTGCAGGTTTAATCGGGGTGTCTACCAACCTCGAATAATCGGGGGATATTGGTATGCCTGAAAAAGTAGGGCAATTTTTGAAGAAACTTGAGCTGTTCATGGAAACTGGCTCATGGCAGCATGTGCAACTGTCGTGAAAGCAATCTACATTTGATCAAAGCTTATGAGGCTACTCCTTTTCTGAAACTGCATTAAACTGCTAAGCATAAACAAGGAGGTAATGCATGACGTTTGCAATCACGCAACATATCCCGACTCACAATCATATTACGTGTCCATAAATTTGTGCTTGTTTGTCTTTGCTCGACCTGAGCTCGGCTTAGAAACACTGTGGTTCAGCAGAAGGGCTTTAAGAAGAGGCTCGCTGGACCGAATCAAGCTCATTTAGCGGCAAGGAAACGATACACATCCACAGGTGTGCGTGCTGTTTGGGCAAGCACCTTGCTTGTTTTTTTTAAAAGTATTTTCCTAAAACTTTAGCACTCATTTTCAGTCCACATATATTCACAAGTGTCCTTATTAAGTGGCTTGGTTTTTTTTGTTGTTGTTGTTGGCATTGTGGGAGAGCAGCGCATAGTAAAGGACACTGGACACAGGGGACACAATGATGTGTCCTATATTTTGCGCTGTTCAGTGGTAATAATGAGACCGTCTGTTTTTCAAGCAGTCTTACCAATCGGGAAGTATTCTCATAATCGTCACCGGAAACCTGTAAAAGCCAGGAAATTTGGAAACAAACATAGATTGATGGACACCATGCCCCCTTGAAGTTGCTAATTAAGTGCAATCGACATGGAAGTTTTCATCTGAATCTCGTCACACTGAACCCCTCGTATTCGGTTGCCAACAGCAGAAACAGAAAGAAGGGGTTGCTGGCCGGGCGACGCCTGTATCTGATCGGCTACACAGAGTAGGCTATAGAACAAAGTGGAAACAACATTAGCGGATTCTTTCACCTCATCGACTGAATTCTGATTGCGAGTGTTGGAATCTCATTCAGGCATAGTAAACCTTCTTCGAATTATTGTCTTTCCATCGGCATTTTTTAATGATATTTGGTCTATTCAAGCGTTATTTTTCTTTCTGTACATTTCGAAGATCACCTTAGTTTAAACTGTTCCAAAAAGGGATTACCTTAACTTTGCGCAATTAGGCTATGCTCTGGCTGGCCACGTATGCACTAAACGACTACTGACAGTTTCTTTGCTGAACTTGCGGAAACTCATCATGCTTCACGCGTTAACGCGATAGCTCTCTACAAAACTAAATGCTGAAATTCCAATACAAAATATTGAAATTTGATTGTAGTGTTGCCATTGAAATGCCGGACTTGACAGTTTATCGGCCTCACTGGGGTCTGCGCATGATGAAAATATGCTGGCGTGTCGTGGGGAAGATGACAGTGACGTCGTCAGCCCTGCCCTAATGTTGCGCAACCGCTGCGGCAAAAAAGTTGGGCTTTACTTCTATTCGCTTATACTACAAAATTGATATGTGAGGTTCAACGTCCCAAAACCACCATATGATTATGAGAGACGCTATACTACAAAATTGGATCGCCTGAATATACACTCCAAGCCTATGGTCATGATGGCGTAGTTCGACATAAAGTGGACAACCAATGTTATGTGCGATTCTTGCATCCGCTGCTTGTATTTCACGGCAGCAGCGATTGCAAGATCAGAGCGAGGCTCTGTGCATGACATGATGACACGACACCGACCTCGTAAAGGTTCCTTTTTTTCTTTTTCCATTCTAATCGTATTGCTATCGTATTAGCAATGTTTGGCACATTTTTTGGATATACTTGTCACATAGGGACTACTTTTCAGCTTACAGTACACTTTCCTTCATCCATCTAAATAGGGGTGTTCACGTAGTCAAAACCACAACACCGTAGTCAAAACCAAGGGGACCTCATGTGTGTGTGTGTGTGCGTGTGTGGGTGTGGGTGTGGGTGGGTGTGGGTGTGAGTGAATGTGGGTGTGTGGGTGTGTGTACTGTGTGAGTGATAACGGGGATTGAATAGCGTTCATCGTCGTCAGCCTGACTACGTTCACTGCAGGAAAAAAGCCTCTTCCATGATCCGCGAATCAACTCGGTCTTGTGCTTTCTACTGCCACGTTATACCTGCGAAGTTTTCAAACCCGGTGGAGGCGAAAATGCTGTAGGTTCATGTGCTCTGATTTGGGTGCACGTTAAATAACCCCAGGTTGTCGAAATCGCCGGAGCCCTGCACTATGGCATCTCTCATAATCATATGGTGGTTTTGGGACGTCAAACACTGCATATTTTCAATTTTCAATCTTATCGGTCCACCTAGCATTCTCTCTCCCCTCAATGTAGCGTTACCGTGCCGCAAACATTCGTTGCGGGCGCTTCGCGGAATAACGTTTACGAGCCTAAGCTGGGACGGTGATGTCGCCTAGCAGTGGATTATTGCACTAAAAATGAAAAAAAAACATCATTCTTGCAAACCATTGCACAATGGTTTGCAACCATTGCACAATGGTTGCACAATGCAAACCATTGTGAACCACACAAAGCGCTAGAGAGGAGACCGGTAGTGCCACCATCACCATCATCATTTCTCAATCACCGCGCCGCGCCTCTCGCGCAGCTGATGCTAGCTCGAGCTGCGCGAGGATTAGAACAAGCTAGCGCACTTGGTGCGTCGGACGTGGAAAGCCACGCGGCTCCGCTTCAGGCGTGGAATAAAGTGGCGAGAGAACGACACGACCACGTTGGCCGCCGTCCCGTCCAACGTTACTAGATACTTTTTTCGTTGGTCCCGTCTTCCTCTCCCGTTACACTATAAACACGGTAATTTTTAATGTTGCAGATTTGTTTACACCGATATTTAGTCAGGCCTATCGAAATGGGAAACGATCTCAAGACTAGGCTGTTATTGGTAATACTCGGTCGTCGAAGTCAGCTGATGACAAGCTAAGCCATTTCGCACAGTCCCCAGTGATGAAAAAAGTGAATCCGTCCCCACAAACACTAATTTCAGTTCTAAGCGGGCGTCTGAAACCACCGCCATGAAACCACAGCCATTCAGCTGAATATGAAAAATTGGCGCCCGCATTATGACACGCGAGAAACTCCACTGATTGCGTCACATGGGGGGGGGGGGGGTATCGCATGCATGTTGCGTAAATTGGGTATGGTTTGGTAATGCTTAATTGTTGTTTCGTCCTTATTATTTTTATTTATTGAATGAGGAAGAAGCGAAGGCAAGAAGTGTAAAGTTAAAGGGTATCTTTATTGCTTCGTGCCGTCGTTGCATTAGATGGAGAGGAGACGCCCTTGACTGAACACGACCGAGGGAGATAAGACGAGGCACGAGGCGAGCCGATCATGCGCAGTGGCGGTGTGGACAACGCCGACACCGAAGAGCCACATCGTGTGACTCAGAAATGCTCGGTATTTAAATATATCGCATACGGTACACGCTAACGGTGTTTTAGCGTACTGCGCACGTGCATTTCAGTACTGCGATTCCTCTAAGCCCACTTTCCCGATACGCAGGCTAAACTGTAACTTCCTATTGTCTACGCCTGGCTTTTACGTGATACCTAGTTCGACCCCGTGGAGGCCTGTCTATAATTGGACTTACTATCAGCGCTAATGAGATGTTAATGAGTTCTATTCTTTCGACAGCTGGCTCGACTGTAGTTCGCCAGACGACAAGTCGCAGGAAACGGACACGTGGTTTCGCGTGCATCAGCGTTGCGTGAACAGGGCGAGAAGTATGCGGGTGGGAGAGGGAGGAAAACCTCGTATTCGAAGGATGTCAATGGCGAAATGGTTAGGAAAGATACTATATACCGGTTTGTACAATGCCAAGCAGTATTTCAAGGCAGGAACTTCAGAGAGCTGTTCTAATGAGCTGTCAGAAGTTATATGCGTTGCTTTCAGCGATACGTTTTCTTCAGTAGAAACGCAGCACGGACAATGGGAACCCTTCTTCGCCTGAGCGATGCTATGCTCTAGCCTGGTGAGACTCTGAGACTCTACAACAGTAGATGATATATATATATATATATATATATATATATATATATATATATATATATATATATATATATATATATATATATGATATCTAACAGACAATAATGCCAAGGAAAGTATAGGGGAAGATATTAGACCAAATTGTACTGTAAATATGAAGAAAAGTGGGTGAAAAGATAACTTGCCGTGGGCAGGATCCCAACCTGCTGTTTCTTCATATTTACATTCCATTTGTTCTAATAACTTCCCCTATACATTCCTTGGCATTACTGTCTGTTAGATCTCATTATTATTGTGTCAAAACACGGAACAACGATCCCTTAGGTATACACTTCTTTCCCTTATTCATTAACGAGGGTCTCGTACTGGCA